ACGCGATCAACGCGTTTGGAGGTCAACGATGTGTGGATTTGGTGGTTGACCGGTGTCAGGCGTGGCCACGCGTACGGCAGCGGGGACGTTGAGGAATTTCCGTTCGGAAAATTCTCGGTTGTTTTGGGAGCTTCCGTCGTCGGTGTCGCTGGCAGCCCATTGTGTAACATTGGCTGACGACCACCCCATTGATCCATGACAATTTGCATGCATTAACTATTCTGTTAACGTTGGCTAAGGTAAGGGAGGGAAGAAGGAACCCTAAATGACAAAAGACTCAGGTGAACTAACTAATTTTAGTATATCTTTACTCAGTTTAGGATGTCCTTTGCTGAGGTTGTTTTGATACCCTATCTTGATTCAGCATTCTCTTGCTCCCCGGGGGCATCATTCTTTTCTCTGCTGTTTTGTTGATGTTGGGCATGGAGAACGCCCAATTACCAAGTTGGGAATGCACCTGAACCTACCCGTTACTGATCTTTACCTCCCCGAACTTTGGCTGAGCCGCAACGTGCATTATGTTGCGTTAAGGGTCCAGCAGTATCTAAAGCATTTAGGTTTTGAGAGTTCAACACTTCACATGCTAGGGCCATGGCCTTAATTTATGTCTTTTTGTTTTAATTTTTTTTACTTTCTTACAACGTAGCCCTAAGACCTATGATGCCATGAAACAACTTAGAAGATTTAAATTAGATTTAAATTCGCCGAATGCGTATAGTACCTTCTTTGGGGGCTTAAGTTAGGTGGTGGGTGAAGTTTATATGGAGGCTCATCAGGGAGCAAAAAAATAAACAGATATTAATATAAGGTGTTAAAATAAACTTAGCAAAAGATATCCCAAACTTGGTAAAAGTGCCCTAAATTTATGTAAATTTGTTTAAGTATTTTTGTTATTTAGGATCAGGATTCTAAGTTTTCTCCTCTCCTCGGGAGGGACCAATGCCAACCCTACTATTACTCACGATGCTTTTCACTGACACGCTCTGGTATACATAATTTCACCGAATGACAAATCAAACTACTTACCTTCAGCCTGCCTCCGCCGTCCGGCACTTCATCAAATTTGTATATCTGTCCTGACCTCTCGGGTTCCCGGCCGAGCTCGTTGCAGCTCGTTCGGCAATCACTTTCCAGGGACCTTGGGCCTGAGTGTGATTGATCGCCAGCGAGTCTTCTATTTATCATGATAATTCGCTATCTAGCCCCATCAGCTGATACCATTCTATCCAATGACAGCAGATCAATTTCTCTGATACGGATAACCTTGATAAGTTGAGTGGGCTGAAGCATCAATTCGGGTCCGGGTAATATTTATCCAGGCTGCCCCGGATTCCAAACATCCATTACCCCAGATTTTATCCTTGAGCTTCATTATGCTAGCTCGCATCTATCATCACTAGCTTCAGTTCTACTTGATAACAAGATATGATCAGCTCATCCACGAGCGGGGGAGGTGGTCGGGTAACAGTTAACCAGCTTCACATTATCAGGTGCAGGGTATTTTGATAAGAGGCTGGTATGGAGGAATTGCTATATAAATGGACGGGATCCTCAACATCCAAACACCAATCTTCTCGTGACACATACTCAGTATTCTCTTAATTACAACCCCAAATACTTATACACAATGGTTGATTTCAAGCTTTCTCCCACCCAGCAAGAGGCCCGGCGCCATGCTCAGGCCTTCGCCAAAACCATCCTCACCAAAGCCCCAGCAGAGTACAACGCCCAGAAGGATCAGTTCTCTCGCTTTCAGGCTACCAGGCCTTTCTACAAGGAAGCTGTTCGCCATGGTCTGATCAAGGCCCAAGTTCCCATTCCCCTTGGTGGAACTATGGAGGGTCTTGTTCACGAGAGCATCATTCTTGAGGAGCTCTTTGCAGTAGAGCCAGCTACTTCACTTACCATTGTCGCTACTGCGCTTGGTCTCATGCCCCTTATCCTCAGTGATTCAACGGATCTGCAAAAGAAGTTCTTGAAGCCCTTCATTTCTGGTGAGGGTGACCCTCTGGCCAGTTTGATGCACTCTGAGCCCGGTGGCACGGCGAATTGGTTGCAGAAGGGCGGACCTGGTCTTCAGACCACAGCTAGAAAGGTTGGAAACGAATGGATCATCAATGGTGAAAAGGTTTGTGCACTTCATCCCTGATCACTCAAGTATACACTAACGTTTGTTCAGCTCTGGCCCTCCAACAGTGGTGGCTGGGACTATAAAGGAGCTGATCTTGCATGCGTTGTCGTCAGAATCTCAGATGATCCATCCAAGCCACAAGATCCCAACGTTGAGCCAGCTTCTCAGATCGCTGTCCTCTTGGTAACCCGAGAAACCATCGCCAACAACAAGCCCGAGGCCTATCAGGTCTTGGGTGAGCCTGAACTTGCAGGCCAAATCACCGCATCTGGCCCTCACACTCGCTTCACCGAGTTCCGTGTTCCTCACGAGAACCTCCTCTGCACCCCTGGTCTCAAGGCCCAAGGTCTGATCGAGCAAGCCTTTGCCAGTTCAGCTGCTCTCGTCGGCGCCATGGCAATCGGAACTGCGCGCGCAGCCTTCGAGGAAGCTCTCGCCTTCTCCAAGTCCGATACTCGCGGTGGCTCCAAGCCCATCATTGAGCATCAGAGTGTAGCCGACAAGCTCATCGACTGCAAGATTCGTCTCGAGACCAGTCGCCTGCTTGTGTGGAAGGCGGTTACCACTCTTGAGGATGAGAGTCTTGAGTGGAAGGTCAAGCTTGAGATGGCTATGCAGACCAAGATCTACACTACTGATGTTGCGGTCGAGTGTGTCATTGATGCTATGAAGGCTGTTGGCATGAAGGCCTATGCGAAGGACATGTCTTTCCCACAGTTGTTGAATGATGTTATGTGTTATCCTTTGTTTGATGGAGGAAATATTGGTCTGAGACGACGACAGATGCAGCGAGTTATGGCTTTGGATGACTATGAGCCTTGGGCGGCTACTTATGGGCCTTCCAAGATCGACAAGTCTCGTCTGTAGTGGTAATTAAAGCATAGCAATAATAAGAATAAAGGCCTTTCCCCTTAAGAAAGCAATCACAGGGTTGTTCGAATATCTTTGCCTTGGGGTGAAGTGAGAGAGTCTACCAGAGATGTCAGTCACAATACCATCAAAAACCACAGTCCTTATCGAGTTCCCCAAGATAATCTACTCAGCTAGCAACAAAGGTCATTAACACTAGGATATTCACAACCTTTCATACAGATGAGCATAACCAAGCACATCTTCTAGAGGATATCGACTACGACCCTCCGCATGGTATCCCGGCAAACGGGTTATCGCAGGAAAAGAATGGGTAATTCTCCTCGCCGGTGGCGACATCGTGTGTCTAACGCCACTGTTTCACCTTGAGATGCTACGGCCCTTAAATTATTATGCTTTTACGGAGCTGCTTAGGCCTTTCGGTCCAGCTGAGAAGGGGTCGTCCCTGAGTGCCGTTTTAAAGTTCACATCACACGTGTGAGTCACCGATGTGGAAACCAATGATATCTCGGTTTGAATCCCAAAGAGGCCATACGAGGCGTGCCCCTTTCTTGTCTATTAGGGTACGTGATTCCTGGTTGATGATTCATGCTGACTCCCAGTCCAACAACGAAGCTTCTCTGGTTACACTACCAACTGCGAAAAATATTCATAAGGACTAAAGGACAGATGCCATTAGCTGCGAATCGATGCCTGTTGTATTCCTCATCGTGGCAAATTGGTTGAGCTGATGCATCGTACTCTTGAGTTCAGAGAGAACGAAATTGCCGTCTCCGTCGAAATTGGTGAAGGAAATACTACTCAGCTGGCAACAGAGGCCATTGCTCAGGAGAAGGGGAGAACTCTAGTATATACGGTTGATCATGGAGCTATATTACACGGCAGCTCTGATATCCTGAGTAAGTCTCGATTGATTGTTGAAACATGCCACCGTTTCGAACGGAATAGGTTGACTATGGTCTCCATAAGAAGCGATATAATGAGCACAGAGGGACTGAAAATGCTGTATAAGTGCTTGTTTTGCGTCTCGTAAGCAAGGATCATGGATACCGGAACCAAAGAGTAGTGTTTGATACTGGTGAGTGTATTAGAAGATCTTATGAAGTCCTTCCAGGTTCATAAACAGATGATATGATACTTGGATATTCTATATATACACATCTCTGTATGCCTCCTTTCGCACTAGATGATAAAGGGCTTTCATAGAAAGCAACCTTCATCCCATTTCTCAAATACCTGCTGAACATGAAGCTCAGTGCTGGGTCATTAGATTTCTCTACCTATTCAGCTAGATGACGGACTTGATCGAATTGCGAACCAATATGAAAGTCGAGGCCTTGGTAGAGTCTTATGGTACAGTTTTCAAACGCCCGAGTTCGTATGCCACACAGTCACCAGTAAGTAGCCACAAGATGCTCCTGATCTTTCCATGCAAAATCTGTTGAGGAGATGACCCTTACAGTCGAGGCTCTGCTGGCCAGAGCTGTGAGGCACAGCAAAAGTTCGCTCGTGGTTTCACTTGACACCAAGATATTGTCCATTGCCCCTTTCCAGTGCCGGAACTTGTTTTGGGCACAACTTGGATTTTAAGTCAGTTGTAGGGACTCAAGAATTAAACAATGTACTGGCAATAAATAGTTGAAGACGTTCTGATGATCGAAAATTGTTGAGTTGTTGTGCGTTTGGGTTTAGATCGACCGAGAACTTTAATAAAGGGGCCACCTTTCATGATAGGTAGGTTAACAACCAGTGCTCGGAGATATCAGATTCAATGTCCGAAGCGTTAATACAACTCAAGCTACTTCATCCAAACCTAATTAGCTGTGAAGATGTCATAGAGGTAGCCAAAGATTGCAGTGTGAGTCAGTGTGAGTCAGTGTCACTGGCTTAAGACGAAGCAGCCTTTGAATGTTTTCTTTGTTGTTGCAGCCTTGTCGCCAGCCCCAACTGCACAAACTTCAACAATACATGTTAAATTCTGCTGAACAGGCGCGACAAAATGGGCAGCAGATCATCGCTAGCCGTGGACGGCGTCTCCTACCTGGTCCATCCGCAATCACTCGTAGGTTGAAACGATATTCCCAAGTAAGCTGCGACTTGCTGACTCTCTCTTCTCTCTAGCTCAAGATAGCAGAGTCCACAGGCCTTGAACCGATTCCTGTCGTTCTCCTTTCCATCGGCGACTCTATACCCTCAGTGAACGACGTCTTGCAGCTCATCAATCGCTTTGCCGAAGTTGACGATGTCTACTCGCCATCATTCTCCCGTACCGCTGTCATTCGGTCCAGCAGTGAAAGAAGTTTCATGGAGATGCTCAAAAAGTTTGAAGTTTCTGGCCACTTCTCCGCCGTGTATCATGTGTCACCGAGCTCGTCACAGGATTGCCTTCCGGCTGGTCCATACTTTCTCTGTGATGGTGAAATTCATCAAGCCTATCGCTTGTACGAGGACACTCTGGACAGCTTTATTTTCGGAGTCATTCCAGATGATGTCTTGAACCCGAAAAGGTTCGATAAGACCTGTACTGCTTCAGTCTTCAGCTCACACTGACTTGACCATCCTAGGTATACTCCTCTGAATCTGCTCAGCTCCAATGGACTGTGGAAGAGCATCCCCGTCCCGAGCCGCCTTTACAATGTCCGAACCTCCACAACTCCTCTTGCTGGTGCGCGCATGGGCATCAAAGATATCTTCCGTCTTGAAGGAACTCAGACAACCATGATGAGTAGGCCGTGGATTGAGCTTTACGACCCAGACGAACAGAGCGCCGACTACACCAAGAAACTCATAAACCTGGGAGCAGTGATCGTGGGCAAAACAAAGATGACCTCTTTCGCATCTCCCGAGGAACCAACAGACCAGTGGGTTGACTTCCATTGCCCCGTCAATCCTCGTGGAGATGGCTACCAGAGCCCATCGAGCAGCTCCTCGGGGGCTGCAACTTCTCTAGCGGGTTATGAATGGCTGGACTTCTGTATCGCGGGAGACTGTATGAGCTTAACTTTCTTGTTGGTCTCTGTTATTCGCTAACTTCTTACCATTTAGCTGCTGGCAGTGTCAGGGCACCGGCGCCTTGCAACGGCTTGTTCTCCCTTCGACCTAGCTTCGGCTCTACATCGATGAATGGAATACCAGTCAACTCACCGTATGAGTACCTGTGTTGCAAACGGTTACCGAGCTAATGAATGAGTAGCGCCTTTGATACAGTCGGCCAGTTTGGTCGAAGCTTGGATGATCTTCACTTCATTGTGTCACACACCTTTGAGAACATTCACCAGACTTTCTCCGAATTCCCGACCAAGATACTCATTCCTAAAGAATTCTACCCCTTGACCAACGCAGAGCAACAGGCTATGACTGAGGAGTATGTCAAAATACTCGAAGACTTTCTGGGTGTCAAGAGAACCCCTTTCAGCTTTGTTGAGGAGTGGGAGAAGAATCCTCCTAAGGCAGCTGGGGGTCTTCCATTGCTGGAATACACTGAAAAGAGCGCTTTTTGGTCGTTGTGCTACGACTACTATCATGGATTCGACAGCTGCCGTGACGAATATAGCGCCAAGTTTGGCAAGAAACCCTTCGTCAGCTCAGTCGTGAGATTCCGATGGTAAGTCTGCAATCAACCATCCCAAACAATTCTGACAAACAAGATAGGGATGTTGGAAAAGATGTTACCTTCCAGGAGTACGAGACATACATGAACCAACTGGAGGTTTTCAGAAACTGGTTCACTGAGAACGTCATGGGTCCCGACCCTAAGACTCTCTCCAACGGCATCCTCATCATGCCCTACGGAGAACCCCACCCAGAGTACCGCGATGAGGCAAACCCACCTGCTGGGACCTTCCCTACTATCGCAGAGAAGTTCATCTCGCCTATTCTACATGCTCCCCAACTCGTGCTACCATTTGCTCAAATGCCGTACCTCTCAAAGATCAGCGGAAGATCAGAGATGCGACCCATTGCTAGCACTATGATAGGAGCCAAAGGAAGTGATCTGATGCTCATCAAGCTTGCCACTGAGGCGTTCAAGAAGGCTGGCTGGCCTACAAGCATCCAGACGGGTCGCTATATGTACCCTGTTGCTGATAATGCGAGGAATGTTGGCTCAGTGCCTACTGACAGACTCCTGACGTTTGAGATGAGACAAACCGTTTGGGAGACACTCGGAGCGTCTGGCGATAATATCGACGACTATGGTGAAAGCAACACTTCCGTGTGCAACGTCATCTAGTATATATCCAGAAGAAAAGCAGACTGGGGAGGCTGAATTAGAAGCTACAGCGAAAGAAAGCCGGCCTACCGCGGCCGCTGTCCTTCTACTCTTTTGTTATTTCTTTTTTTGATGTCTCTGACTTCTATGATCATCTTATGGAGAGTTCTTGTTTGTTCTTATCAGCCTGTTTGACATTAGGAGGGAATTAAGTTGTGACCCGTAGGGCTTCAAACGAATATCAAGCTAGCTCAACTGTGATGCTATTTTTATTCTTCCCGCACATGGCAATAAAAGTCTCTTGCTCTCTGGGTTCTATATATATTTGAACCCTCTAAGTGTCTGAAGCACCTTATTTGATATCCTCCCCACCCAGCCCCAAGTCGCGGTCCAGAACATGGTGGCATATGTTGCCATCAAGGTTATTACGGCCACCACCGCGAATAAATAGAACGAAGGAGTTTTGTTATCCTCCGATTCTTTTACGTTCATCCCAAACGCCGAGGTAGCGAATGACAAAGGAACAAAGAACGCCGCCAACTTCGTTAGCCTAGCCACCCTTTGGGCTTGTGCGATGCTGCGCTCCCCACAAAGAAGCTGCGAATAGCTTACCAGAAATACCATTGCCGACTCACAGTCCTGACGCATGACAGCACATTTCTGCCGTAAGGCCTCATGGTCAGTTCGCAATTTATTCTGCACAGCCTCCTTCCTTATTGCCGCGCTCATTCCAGTTCGAGCTCTCGGCCAGGTACTACAACCACCCTGAGCTATCCACTGCAAGTTCTCGGCGAGGGCGGCCTCAACACGGTGAATTATCCTGACATGGTTTCGTAATCGTTCAAGCTTGATGTCAAGAAGATCAACTTCCAGGCTGTGGTCCTCATTTATGCTCAATGATAGATAGTTGAGGAGTTGCATGAAAGAAAGCGCGGATGTAGTAAAAAGGCTGGCCAGTAGGAAGAAGGGATCTTCTGACAGCAGTTCCATATCGGCTTCATCATGAACCACAATGCTCCGCGATGGATGCAGCTGGCTGAAAGCTGGTGATAAAGGAAAGGCATCACTTCCTCTTTCATGGCGATTGGAGGAGCCATTCCGATTATTCATGCTGCTCTCGCTGATACCAATGTTCCAATCGCAGGATTCGGCCGTAATGGGCTTGTTATACGGAACTATCGGAACAGTGCCTACCACAGTTCCTCCTTGTAGAGAGGTGGAGTAGTTGTGGTAGCTAGTCCATGGCAGGCGAACATCTTGCAGGAAAGAAGTTCCTTCATCGGTGAGATAGATAGCTATGAGTTCACTATTGTTAGCCGATTGAATGGACATTATCATGTCTAGTGTGAGAGAACATACCGGCCCACGACGCCTTGTTTGGTACAGCCGTAAAGGAGACAGTCTGCTCGATGCTACAGCAGTAGGTGTCGTGTTGGTTGACCCCCCGAAATCTGGCGACACCGTACTGATCTTCGGCGAACAGGCGCTTCTCATATTTCCGGCACGCTTCCTCAACCGCAGACCGTTTTTCCATGAAGAGCTTCAGGCTGGGGCCTTGAACCAAGGACTTGACGAGGCTGCTGAAATTGACATGAACAAAATTCCCCTGCCTGGAAGGCAGAGTTCGATCGCCGTAGAAACAGTCCGGGTCATTTTTTGAAGTCGGAGATATGTTCCCATAAGAAATTCTGGGCGTTCTCCGGCCAGCTGCACGACGGCGTCTGGCGATGGGAAGTCCTATAACATGACAACTTGCGGTATTTCTGAGATGGATGACGACTTCAGGACGTTAAAAGGGAACAGTGCAGGATGTTTTATAGGAGACCCGATAGGCTGAAGTTCCGAGATCCTGGATTGAATGTTGAGTTTGCTCCGGATACTTCCTAGATCCTTTTTCAATATACTCGACTCAGGCTTCGTAGTAACTAAAAGCTTCGAGGTCGTTATTTTAGCGTGATCGAATATAAAAAGATGTTTATATTAGAACTAGCTTAAAACTCTGTTTCCTTTATTTTGCCTTGAACCAACTGAAATCGCCATTAAACTTCTTATACGCCTCAAGGTTAAAATCCTTTACTTCAGGGGTAACAAAGTAAGCCTTTTCTGGATTTGTCGACTTCATTTTCCTCGGCATATATTGTTTGTCCTCATAGCTGATGCGGTGCTCATCGAACTCCGCAGGGGTGATCAGTCCTGTGTCATACATCAAGGTTCGGGCATGATTGAAGATTTCTTCCTGGGCTCTCGCTAAATCGTTGCCGTTGACGTTATCCTTGACCATTTTATCGAGTCTGTCATAATTCTTGCTCCAGAAGGTATTCCACGATGCGTCAAAGGTTGCCTTCATGTAGAGTTGGTTCACATCAGAGTGGAGTCTGACGACGTAGTCGTCCGCATTGATTTCAAACCTCTCAAATTTGCCATAGTGTTCCTTGGCCAAAAAGTGTGCGCGATCATACCTCGCGCCGCGAGAGTAACCTGCGATTTGCTCTTTGCGTTCGGCCAATTCCTTGCGTCGTTGAAGCCGGGCTTTCTCAGAAATTTCTCGCAATTTGTTTACAAGTCTTGGGTCATAGGTGGCTTTGTTTTCGTTACTTCGTTGTCTTGCACGGTCTCGATATCCTTTTGCGAAACGTGCTCTCCACGCCGGCTTCGACATGCCTTGAGAAACTCCATTGAGCATCATTCTTGGTCCTTTCAGCTCCATCGACTTGACAGTACCTTCGGAGTCGACGAAGTTTATTGGATCGTTGGTGCAGTATGCGTATATGTTTGGTCCGTCCACGGTCCCAGCAGGATCTGGTGACAACCATCTTCCAATCCATGAAGCATAATACCGTGCACCACACAAATCAAGGCCAGTTTCCGAGTCTCGAAGGTATCGACGAAAGCGGTATTCTCGTGAAGCACCAATCTGTCCAGACGAAGCTCTGAACGTGCAGGCACCATACGGGGAATATTCTTCGTAGTTGATGAGCCGGCCTTGTGCATCAAGCTCCAGGCTGGGACTGACTTCGTAACGAAAGAGAACATCTCGAGTGAAGTTGTCTTGACTCTCGACAGAGGCTATGCGAGATGCTCCGACGATAGAAGAGGCTTTGCTGGTCCTTCGAAGCTCCCCACTACCAGTAAAGACCATTTCTATCTTGGCCTCTCTGAATTGGATTGTGTCTGCCATCTTGCTTCCAGGTGAACCATCGCTTGAGGCTCGTTCAGTGACCTTTCGAAGTCTGTGCCCTTGATGGTTGTAGACAAAGAAGGTTGTCTCAGGAACGCCATTGGTAACTGTCTGCTTTGAGCTTGATGACAACATCCGGCGGTAACCCCATTGCATCGACGAAAATCCGGGCATTGAGGTGATGAGTCCAAGTTGTCCTGCATCGTTGTCGTAACCGTATCGTTCTTCGGTTCCTGATACTACGGTACGACTCAGGCGATTACATGAGACATTTGGGTCCAGGAAGCTAGGTTCTTCATAAAAGTATCGACGAGTCCAGCCACCGACCTTACTATCAGACGCAGGCTGATGACTCATGGAGGTCATGTTGCCAGCCGTGTCATATTCATAAAGCTCGAGAAACTCGCACAGCCGCTGTTCACTCCTTTGCCCTTGGCTGGCAAGACTCTCAGTTGAACTGTAGGGCTTCGCCATGGATCCGTTTCCATTACTGCTGTCAATTTGTTCTCGGCCCGTGGCCGCAATCAGCTGACCAAAAATGTCGTAAGTATAAGAAGAAGCTGGCTTGATCTGTTGATTGCGGAAAAATATGTCCTGTTGCGCATCATTGACCTTGCGGATCTTGCGGCCTAAACAGTCGTATGTTGTCGTAATGTCCTCTAGCACCTTGCTCTTCTTGTCACGAACCTTTTCGTTCTCCAGCTGTCTGGTGAGAGTGTTGTAAGTGCAAGATGATTGGCTTTCATTTCCATAAGTCGTAGTCAGCACGAGATCGTCAGCCGTGTAAGTGGTCTGAGACACGATAGGCTTCCAATCTGACTCGCTCGTAGCTGTCGTAGACGACAAGGATATTTGCGTTAGACGACCCAGTCGGTCATAGGACTTCTTGGTCTGGTTATTGTTGGCATCGCGGCTCTCTACGACTTGACCGAGATGGTTGTATAGGTCTTGGTGTTCATAGACAGTTGCTTCCATCTCAACTTGATCCCCCCATGAAACTCCTGTCTTGTATTCTCTGCAGAGCTGCAGAGTCTGAGAAGTGCAGCACCCTCGATTATCGTAAGCTGAGAAGCTCGTGACACCAGATTGATCCATCTGTTTCCAGATTTGACCACGGATATTGCAATCTTGAGCAGTTGGGTGTTTCTCGCCGTAGATCATCGACACAGTCAGTTGCTTCGCATGAAGTTTAGTAGTGACCCAAGTCTCCGTTTCTCTTCGAAGTTCATCGTACACAAACGACTCAGTGGTGCCACGTCGGTCCCACGATAATAGGGGCTTTCCTTCGCAGTCTGAGAAACTAATGTGGTCACCACCGTCCATGGTACCTTGGTATATACACTGGTTAAGCAAATTGAATCGCCGAGACATGACAGCACGCCCGAGCTCGTCGTACTCCATGATTGTGTTGTGATCGTCATCGTACACATATTCGAGATTTCTAAGGTTTGAGTCGGGGCCTTTTGTCTCCCTCCAGACTTCATCTCCAGGAGTAAGGTGGGTGACAACAGGGGCGACTGGGTACTGTTCAGATTTCTCGGCTGCCAGGCGCTGTGAGTCGTCGCCTTTCTTCTGAGCCTCTAACCAAGATGTCCACTGCAAATTGCTTAAGAAGCTAGCCACAAACCTTCCAATATCCTGGTCTTGAGAAGGGTCAGAGATATGGATGGTGTCGCTCACATCATAGTGGCTTATGCTCCACGGCGAATACACTGTCTTGCTCCAGGTGGCATTCGCAAACACTGTAACTACTTCTCGTTGCATGGCGTCGTAGATTGACGTTTGAATCAGCCCATCCAGCTTTGATGGGGGTCTTGGCAAATGACTGTCTGTGTAAAATGCTTGGTAGGTCTGAACAACTTCTTGATGGCTGTTTTTCAGAACACAGCTTTGGCATCGCCATTCAGAACCCTCTTCACCATGATAGTCGAATGTCTGATATGGATTAGATTGACCGTCGAGGTACGTAATCGACAAGCTTATCACAGACTCTGCAGCAATACCCGAACCGACGCGCACAATGGAAGCTACCGCTGCAGTGCACAGTTTATTGGGTGCCGTGCCATAACGGTGGCGACGCTCGAGGTCATATATGACGCGCTCGTCTGCTGAGCCCAGGAGCTGCTTACTTAAAGCCTCTGTAGGTTGATCGAAAAGGCTGTCGATGAGATCCTGGTGGGGAGTTGGATCGAGGTCTTGCACGGTGCTACCCGTACTCTGATCAGGCTTGCCAACAATTGCGGTTCCGACATTGTGTCCTAAGGGATCCAAAAGGCATTGGTGTACATTCGAGTTCTCATCGAGGATGGTGGTCGGTTGTAGTTTCTCATAGTTGTTCTCCCAAGACACCTTACTACCAAGCGCATTTGTCATGCTTGTTTTTAGCAAGAAGTACTTATCATACTCGACCGTAGACTGATTGCCGAAAGGATCTGCGCTCAGGCTGGGAACGAAGAATGCTGATCGCGCTGCCGCAAGCTCAGTGCTGTCTTTTGACGAGGGGAAGCCTTGGGTCCCAGATGGCGCCCATAGACACCCATTCGAGTCCAGGTCAACGTACCCGCCCTGGCTAGCCATTTGTGATAGGTCAGCCTGGTCCCCAAAGTTGCCTGTTCGTAGCATCATATCTTGAAGCATTTCGGCTGTGAAGCCAAGAACGAAAGTCTGGTGCAGAGTAGAGAAGGTCTCAAGCCTACCCAGCGGTAGAATCTTGGTTAAATCAGAGCTTTGGTAGTAGACCCGGGTTTCATGTGATTTCTCATCTCGAACGTCTTTTGCCCGCCGACTTCGCAACAGTTGCCCAACCTGGTTGATGTCGACAATGGTAGACAGTTCGGTGCCATGGATGCGGTACAGTTCTGTCTGGCACGGTAATGATTTGCGGAAATTGAAGTTGTCACTAATCGAATTCGTGTATGCGGCATCCTCCACCTCGATAACAGTTGACAAGTCCATGGCTCCTCTAGCAGTGCCAGTAGTGTGTGAGCCATACGATCTGCTCTGATACGTGATCGTCGCTGATGTTTGCGGGTCACCGAATTCGTTGGTACTTAAAACCATCTTGTGGACAATATGCGGATCGTTTGTCTGCATCCCAAGGGCTGTTGTCAATACCTCGCTTGGCAGGGCCCAGACAATGCCACAGGCGGTTTGATCTGTTTTTAGCTGAACACTGATAATGTTGTACACATTTTCAGTCACAGCATACGGAACACCGTCAGAGATACAATCATGGATTTCAGATCGTAACACCTTTCCACGCAAAGACCGCTTTGCTTCATGAATATCAACCTGATACTCCAGTTGAGGCAGGTGTTGGAAAATTGCCGAAGGCGAGAAGTATGGCCTACTGGTAGGTCGATCTGAGCCGGTGCTGTACCAAGTCTTGGTCAGCGACGACGAAGCGGTGAAGAAAAGGTCCTTTGTAGGGAAAAGTTCTTCTTCTTGCTGCTCGACCATGCCAAAGCCGCGAAATTCTCTGTCTTGTGGATCAAAAAAGCCATCGTGATATCTGTATTTCACAGTCTTGGATATGCTGGAGACCTGGTCCGTAGTAGTGATCTGGCTGACGCAATGAACAGGAAATGGAAGCTTTGTTTCCCAAGGATACAACTCGGACTCGTCGACGAGGTAGAAATGGGTAGAGGGCTCATATTGTATATCAACCTCGAGTCCCATCCCATTTGCATAAGAACGCAAGAGGTGTGGTTTTGCTGAATCCATTAGGTCCAAGTATTGCAAGCACATACTGTCAGATGCATCAGGAGACGGTCCTGTCCAACAAAGACACGATGTACCAGAACCGAGAAGATCAACGACCTGCACAGATGCTAACTTGTCTACCGGAGGGAAAGCAGGAATGTATACTGCGTCACTCCAGGAGTTTCCACATAGATTGTAGTATAGATGCGCACCTCCTTTTGGAAGTACGTATAGCAGATCCGCTGTGCCAGAGCCATCCGTGTCCATCAAGTGGAGTCTTCCATGAGAGAAAGAATCGTCGCTGTCAAAAACTGGTGCATTTGACATCATGACCTCGTTACTGAAATTCCCGTAACCGGTATTGGACCAATATGACACCCGTCCATTGGAAATAGCAACGATATCCGACAGCCCATCCCCTGTCATATCAGCTGATTTGACAGACAGCCTGTCGTCGCTTTGAAGTCTAAGAGGCCCCGTAGCTGGTGCTTGTGAAGTCTGATGGATTCCAAATCCAAGCTTGCCCAGTGATTGTTGCCACACAAGGTATTCAAGTGATGTCGGGTCCAGGGCATCTGCAAGACCGTCTCCAGTTAGATCTATATATATCATACGATCGGAAGAGGCTGATGAAGAAGAGATGGAGGATAAGGTAGAGAAGTCTGACCATCCGTCAGCTTCGGTACGTTCAAAGTAGCCATAAGGCCGACCGAGCTCGTCGAAGCACACAAGGTCCTGGCAGCCAGTGCCAGCTAGATCTTGTAGATGGTATTTTTCTGGTAATGTTGGTTGCGAACCGAGAATTCGGAAGTCTGTGAAGCATGGCCCCATTTCCTTTCGAAGAGCGCTCTGGTTGCGTTGAAAGTGCAAGGTACCGCCATCCAAAGTAGTCAAGATTCCAGGAGAGCCTTCGCCATTCAAATCGATCCATTCAGACTTATCGGTGGTACCGACTGGCAGATATGGGATGTTTGATGTTTTGGCCTTTTTCAGCTGTAGTGCTTCTGGCGAGGGTAATTGACTGTACTTGAAAGCAAGAGGTGGCATGGACTTTGTGATGTATCTAAGCCCACTCTCCTCGTTCTGCACGGAGTGACCGAGAGCAGTACAGGACGACAAGAAACTACCATGCGGAGTCTCATCATATTCCAACATAAGTGATGAGGTTAGAGCATCCTCCACACCAATCTCATCTGGGAAGTGATGAAACATCAAGATCCTGCGGCAAAGCCGATAGTTTCTGATCTCGAACCCACTAGAGCAACTTGTAAAGGGATCTTTACGGGTTTTCCAGTTTTGAACGGCCGTAGTGAGGGGAACGTCCTGCGCATGCTCTCCATAGTCAAAGACTACCACAAACATCCATTCCGACGGTCGCACGAAAGTATCCCAGTCTTGGAGTTGGCGACAGGGGGTGGTATTACCATACCGGATTGACTTGATGTACTTTTGCCGACGACGGACATCGCTAGAGCGATTCATTTCCCAAAGAGGCATTCCGTCCTCGAACAGGCCAGACTCGTCTTCCTGTTTATACGAGAATTGTACGGCATTACCCCAAGTATCATACATGTCAGTGATGAGCCAGGCAAATATACATGGTCTATCTGTGGCCTCGTTGGAGATCCTGGAGTCTTGATCGCGTCCGAAGACTGAAGTGACGTTGTCGCTAGTGATTGTCCTCCAGTGAATGTCCCAAGGGCTGGCCAGTTTGCTCCAGCGCTCAATGCGCATAGGTTGAGAGACGACTCGGGGTTGATATTGACGAACGACAAATTCACCAATCGTCTTCTCCTTCCAGTTTCCACTATCGAGTAGAGGAACGAGGTCATCTTCTCCGGAGAGCACAAAGGTATCCTTCTCGTCATCGTACAATGGGATATTACGAGATGTCTGCCTAACGACCGAGGAGAGTGAGAGGCCCCAACCCAAGCCAAAAGCACCGTTGCCATGACCTGAGTCATAAGTGAGGTTCAGAGCAGGCCCAAAATCAGATCGGGACTTTGAGAGGGGAATGGGCACTGAGAATGACAAAGTGCCATTCGCGCCGTTCACGTTGATGTTGGCTCCAATTGACTTGATGGCCCCTCCACCCTTCCCAAGGCTAGAGAATGAGGTAGGTAAAGATGCTCGGCCGTGGGAACTGCCGCCATCGCCATCCTTGGCCGCACCATGCTGCGGATGAGAAGGTTGAACACCGGCTGTATGAGCCTTCTTGGCTCTGGTGCCGCCGTACATTCTGAGTCAGACGCCCACTGAACTGGCACGTTGGATTAACACTGGAAATTGTTTTGAGCTTTCTCAAAGAGATATTGACTGACGAATGATCCAACAAATAATGCTGTTCAGGAATGTCTTATTATCTTAAGTCATTTATGTTGTGTAGGTTTCCACGCATATGTACATACTGTGGAGAGCCAGGCAGACAGGGATCAAGCTGGTACGTCTCCTTCAGCCAGCCACTGCCCTCTTAAAGGCACGCGTGCATCCGAGACACCTCATGCATAGACCATAGATAGGTTCACACCCACACGGGACGGGCCTTTGAACCAGTTCAGGGCAAGGATCGACGGATGGCTTGCCCGAGGCCCTAGGCCACATACGCGCTTCGACATACTAACATCCATGCTTTGAAAGTGACAAGCTGGTATTGCATGCATTAGCAGGCTTGCAGGCGTGTTGAATATTTCAAAGGTTGTGCTCTCCTTTGGGCGACATATGCATAGACTATTGAAGTCTGCTTTCTGACCTACATACTCGGCGCAGTATTACGGTTACTACCCGCATCGCCCCTGTCAGGTAGGAACTCTTTCGAATGAAAGGTCGGCAGGGACTGAAGCTAATCGCTTCCATCGCTTCCTGACACGGATTGTCTCAGTGAAGCCAAAGAGTGTGTCGTGATTCAATAACAGTTCTGGTTCAATCATGAACCACCCTCGTATAAATGACTGGTCAGATTGATAGCTCTCTAATAGTCTGATAGTACTGAAGTTATCTTGCTCAAGACAAATAGTCGACTCGATATGGCTTGCCACGGCGATTCGTTGTCTTTGGGCTTGCTACCGTTGTCTATAAAAGCTGACAACTCAGAGCACAAGATTGGTCTATCCCGCGGCATTCAAGATGGAATCACTGAGTCATGCACTATTTCAAGTGTGCAACATGTAATAATAGCAGAGTAATCAGCAAGTTTAGTTTAAAAGAGTGGTAAGAATGGAAGCCCGCAAGGCTCGAATATACCATGTATCATAAAGGGGACGAATATCTTCTCATCCGTGCTCAGGCTCTTCAGAACATGTTCAATGCCGACTACGTATTAAGCACTGGCTTAACATGGTACTCTGCCAACAACCACAGCCTTTGACCTTGAGCAGCACGTATGGCGGCAACGTCCTTTCCTTGAAGGCTATTCAGCTCAATGACAATGTCCTTCATTTCCGTTCCATGTGTAGTATCCTCATCAGTAGCGACAACCTCAAATGTGCCACCCATCAATGCTTCTGGTGACGCGATTCCTATCTCGTGCCCATCCTTCTCGGTGTCAGTAATCTTTGCAGCCAATTTCCCTCCAACACTGGGCAAGTTGCCACCGTCTTTGTCTCCTAGCAAAGACGAACCTCTCGATGCCACGAGCCAGAACCTGGAAAAGGTCGGTTGTCGGCCACGCGTCCAGAATGGGAGCAACGACGAGACATTTGCGACCGTCAGTTTGGGTGTATCACCGGTGCTGCTCAGCCTCGTCAATCCATCGCGCAGATCAAACAGGGCCACGTGCATTTGACTGTCGGCACTTTCTTGGAACTTGGTCACGGCGTCTTCGGCCTCCATCTGCCATGCAGCACCTCCATTCATTGCGGTGTAATTGATATGGATGATCACGTCGCTCACGGTATGGTAGTCGAATTGACGTGTTTTGGTGGGTAGTTCCAACGACCATCGAGACACTACGCCAGCTCCCTCGAACGGACCGTATCTCTCGCCGGCTGCAAACTCCATTTCGAAGGCGCCAGTGTCCTGGAAGCCCGAGCTAAGCGCCACGGCAGAGATCGGAACCTTGTCCGTATGGTAACGCAAGTCGGAATTGAGGCTACCAACAGGGTAGTAGGCCGCACCATTTTGCTTTTGACGTAGGCGATACCCATGCTCGAGAAGCCTCAATGTGCAAGAAACGCTGGTATAGGGGCCCACGACACACGGGATCGTCACCCAGAGCGACTTGATCCGTCGACAATAATGTCCCGGGAAGTCATAGTCGAACAACACCTCGGGAAGCATGAATTCGGTCTTGCCAGTGTCTTGGAACCGGAGGAGTGCCCAAGGGTCAATCTGCCGCAATGACATGCTCTTCTTGACTTCGAAATCGTGAGGCTTGCGCGTCATATTCAAGCTCTCGATCCGTTTGAGATCAAGATACAGGTTTTGAGCCGCAAATGCTCCGTCCCGAGAATCGTTCCAATATGAGCTTTCGATTAGACTCTCGGGAGTCGAGGGTGATGGTCGCTCAAACAAAAAGGCTTTCTCCGCGCTCTTGGCCGCGTCAATTGCGATGAGGTATGTTCTATACAGGAGCTTCCGCGCGCTGGTATCCATCCACGAGTACAGTGCTTCGTTGGTGTACTTGTTACGAAGGTGCTCGTCCATCTCTGTCAGATCTTCGATTTGTTGCTTGGCCATGCTAATATCGGCTTCCGCCATCTCAATCTTGATACGCTGGCTTTCGATCGACTTATCTGTGACCATGATCTCATAGCCGGCCTGGTTGGCTTGGAGTCGCCTATCTTGCAGCTGCTTGATCAACTGCCCTTTTCGAGACGCCCGGCCAGCCTCAAAATTTCTTGTAGCCGCTTCTTGTTGAATCACTGACGCGACCAACATCATTCCATCGGCTATCTTTTTAGGGTCCATTTGAGTAGAGGCACCGATGCCCATGGGCTGTGCCTGAACTTGGATCTCTGGGAGAGCCATCAATATTGAACAAGTGTTTTGAATCGCAGTGGCAACAATGCCGAGCTCTTGAGCCTCATCATTCTTCACCATTTCCATGCTCTCCTCAGGACTCATAACCAGCTCATCGTCCGTAGGTTTGGCGATGGATTGATGAATCTCAGTCCAGGAACCACCCGCCTTTGGAACTTTGCTGCTCGACTCTCCTGTCAGCGCAAGATAGTAATTCAATCTCATAACCTGGGACTTGCGGTTCAACTCAAGAATCTCCATATTCTTAACCAAGTCGTCTCGTGCCAGTTGCTTACTACGCAGTACAACATTCTGCATAGCAAGATCTTGTCGAGATCTCAGTGCTGATAAAGCCTCGGCATCTTTTTTCTCTTTGATGACTAGATACGCATCACTCATCGATCGAAGCTCGGTACACATCTCAAAAGCCTTTTGCAAAAGCAACGCGAAGCGAGCGTTTGGCATAGGGCCAGTCAGAGCGTTGGCAACTACACTTGCCATACCGCCTGTGGCCATGCTGCGTACGAGTTGTCCAGGGTCCAAGGGTGGCTCAAACAACTGGAGACGACGAAAATTGCCGTTAATGTCAAGACTGTTGCGTATCTTGAAAAAGCGGTCGTCGATAAGATCTCGCAGTGCTGCCATTTGCGGATTTGCGGGCACAGGGAAATATGGCGAGCGTACCATGCCTTGTACGCCGTTGTAAAATGGAGCGGATGCATTTTCTTGATCGCTGGGTTGAATAAAATAGGGTGCATGCAACTCCATATCGATCTCGGCACTACCAAAGTCATCAAGATCGCCGATGATTGCATTGTAGGACTTTGAGATAGGCCTGGTCTGTCGTGGAAGAACCACCGGTCTCTTGTCAAACAACTGTGAGGCTTGCACATATCTCTGCAAAGCGAGGGGGAGGCTCTCCAAAGTATCTTCTCGAAAGTATACATCTCCAGCTGCGACAAGTATCTGTATGTATTTGATGATGAAGCGTCTCATGTATATTGAGGGCCTGCCACGAGCAATGGCATGAGGGTTGAAGGGATTCTGAAGCCAGTCATTGATATCATTGGATTTGTCATGTCCCGCAGAAAGTCTTTGAACTACCTGCCTCGTGGATCCTGCCAGGCGGAGGTTTGGGTTTTTGAAAGGAACAAACCTCCAACATCGGTCCAAGTTGGATAATGGTTTATCAGATGGCTGTGTGTTACTGCCTTTCGGACTGGGTTCGTCATCTGCTCGAGGATCGAATACGAAGCTCGCAATCTGCAGCGCAAGTTCGAACTGCTGAGTCGCGTATAGGCGTTCCATTAGAAGGAGTACTAGATGGAATCCTAACTCCCAGCTATAAATCGAGTTTGCTGTCCCCAATTCTCTCATTGTTCCCTCCCCGTGGTCACCAAAGACATTCTTGATCTTGGATTCAGGCACAGTCTCTAGGCCATTGAAAAGGCCTTCCAGGCTGTCTGACCTTGTTACTATTTCCATCAGTGTCTGGCAAGTATCATTGCTTAGTCGCTGTACCGAACTTGTATCCCGCTGCGTGGAGGGTACAAGACCTTGGCTGTCACGTCCGATGATTCCAAAGTATGAATCCACATGAGACACTGTAGCTCTTTCGAGAACCAAAGCAGATGGACCGTTGTACTGGAACTCATTGTAAGAGACAGTCCAAGTAAGCTTCTGGGTAGGATCAGTATCCAGTTCGGCTATGTGAGGTGGCAGCGTCAGCAGAGGCTGTTGTTCACTAGCCGGTCTCGTAGACGGATTGTACTGCCGGTAACTTTGTAATTCTGCTTTGAACTTGGTCTCTTCTTTCTCGGAAGTTTTATGGTCAAGCTGCTGGAACCTTGTTGGGGTAGTGCGTTTCCAAGCCGTGCTAGTGTCTTTGAAGTCACTGACAATCATCTGCGTCCCTCGAAGCTCAAACCGGCCCAGGTGGATTTGTCGATAATCGGAAGGTTTGGATTCAAACCACCGATACACGTCAAGAACAAGAATATTGTTACCTGGCACGACTGAGTCCGTTTTGTCAGTAGCTGGACTTGTTCTAGCCGAGGCGCGAAAGTGGAAGGCTGATATAGACGGCATATTCCTGGCAGCGGCTGGAATCGAAGGATCGTTTGGCTGAGTCTTGTATCCCTCAACCTCAAGGCTTGATGAAGACACCTCTTTCCTCGACCACTTGCCATTTCGATATTCAATCCACCCTATCTTGATCTCCCAGTATTGCTGATTCTCCGGTGGCTGAATGGTTTCGCCCAGCTTGAGGGTTACACTACTGGCTGCCTGAGGACGGGTTCTGAGCAGTATCTGAGGAATGAACAGGAACAGGCGACCGCGGTAGATAGTTGGGACCAAATAGGTTCCTGCTTTAGACAAGCTTTTGCCGTCCCAATCGACCTCAAGGGCAGGTATCTCTACTTCAATTTTGGCCCAGGGGAACCAATTGAATCGGGGTGAGTCGTTCTGGACCCCTGTGACCTCGAACACTCTGTAGTAGTACTGGTATGGCGCGGTCCTTGTTCTTGCAAATAGGTGATATTTTCCAGTGAACTTGGCTCCAGACTCCCAAAAATACGCGAGTATCTGGAGATCTGCTATTTCATTGGTGTCATAGATGTAGCGTCGAAAGATTGACCCAATGACCTCCAAGTTCAGATTACTCTGCAGGATCAATGACTCTATAGAACGGAATGACTGGCTCTTGTCGTCGCGTAAACTAGGTTCGATCCAGTTTTCAGGATAGAGAAAGACCTTTCTGTTTGCCTGCCACAGCACGAATTTCGACATCCATGCCCAAGTGTCCCGCTTGATAGCCGTTGTGGGAATGCCGTTCTTTTTCTCCAGGCCCAAAAGACACCTCTGTATAAACAGTTGGACTGTTGAGATTGCCTGCTTGATACGCGAGGTTTCTTGTTGTGGGCCCATCTTGACATCCATGAGAAAGTATTCAAAAAGGCCTTCAACATCCGCAGGCACACCATACTTCGTTGCGAGCGCCATCAGATGTTGAACAAGACACTCTCTCTTTTGCATGGTGACATTTTCGACTGCCTTTGCTGGGGAGGCTCCTGAACGGACTGTGACAATCCTTTCCAACGATTTAGCGGCCTCATATAATGGTGTCGTGTCCTCTGGGGTTGTGAGAGCGCTCCACTGGATCATCTTCTCGGCAGATACATTGACGCGTTCGATAAACGACATCAGTCGGTTCAATCGTATAAGAAACTTTGCATCAATGGCGACGGCGCTTCGTGCTGCAGTGACGCAGGCTGTCACCAGTTCGCGAACACGAAGCAGTTCGAAACCAGTGGACTTGGAAAGCTGGTTACAAATGGTCTCCAGTTTCTCGGAGCCCTGTGGCAAGGGGCCAGCTCGGTACAAGTCCAGTATGGTGACGCCTGATTTTGGCTTGATCAGTGCACGGGCTTTGACGTGGTCACACAATAACTCAAGGCCCTCGCTGGCAGGTTCATCAAAGCGAAGATGATCTTTAAAGTAGATCAACTCGTCTGGGGACAGTTTCATCGTGTTGATGACCTCTGCAGCTGTGCTCAATATGCGCAGGACCTTTCGAACAATTTCGACTGTATCAGGATGCAGTAAGTGATCGACGAGTCTGCTTTGTGTGCCCGAGGAATCAACTACAGAGAATAGCTTCAGATCCTCAGCTTTGGCTGTGCTGAGAGCATATAATTGACCACGGGTCGTCGAGAGTGCGGTAGAGGATGAATCAGATGCTAACATCTCCTTTCCCCCTAGTGATAGAGTAAAGTGTTTGTCGGATGGCCCAGCAATACGAATCTTGTCCAGAGAAGGGGCGATGAAAAAACACTCCAAAGGCCCGATCATGGTTTGGTTTGACGTTGAATTCAATTTCTCAATTGAGAGCAGCAAGTCAAGAGGCTTGGTATCATCGGGAGATAGCATTTCAAGCAGAGATTGACAGGTACTTGGGATAAGTCCGTCAAGTTTAGAACTGATGGTTGCGAAGATAAAATCCTTCTTGGCCTGCAGTTTGCTCTGATCAATGATTGCCACGATGATGTTTTTGATGATTTGAAGCCTTTCAGTGCCGATCTCTGATGGGTTCCGCTGCTCAGTAGGACTGAATATTCCAGTAAAACTTTCGATGGTGTTGCTGCCAAGGGATGACGAGAGTGCCAGAAGCGGTACGATGGATTTCTGGTACACACGATCGACATCGGATCTCCAACTGGTGCCATCAGAGCCAAGTTTCGAGAGTGTATCGTGCTCTTCGGCCGTCAAGATTCCTCGCAAAGTCAAAGTTCCAGGCCTTTGAAGGACCTTTCGTCTCAGAGGCGAGTCGTTTGGTAACTGCACACCGATGTGGCATTCAGTTGTAACTGACCATGTACCTGTCAACATAGCCGTCACTTTCTCGGATATTGTTGAATCGAACACTGAATTACAAATCGTATTAAGATTTGGAAGGTTGATATCAGTCTGCGCATTGAAACCAGGTGCGACAATAGCACTTTCGTTGAGCGCTTGAAGTGATGACAACATGCCAGCTGCCAAGCCCGCAATATACGCCGAATTACCCTCGGTGTCGATTGTGGCCCCAAAGGCGTTGAGTAATAGGGTATTTGAGAATCCGGCCTCTTGTAAAACCTTCCACCTCTCTACAACGCTCCATGTCTTCCGTGGACTCTGCCATGGACCCATGTCTTCACAGTTAAATACATCGAGTGAAAAGTACTGTTTCAAGGAAATCCCAAGCACTCGGCGCAGAAGGTTGTGGCGATAGAGCTTGGAGATATTGGCAAGATTCCACGGTGCCGATTCTGCAATTCCAAGTGCTTGAGACATTACTCGAAAATCTTCATTTGTCAGCTCCAGAGCTAATAGTAAGGGCGTCATGAGGTCCCTGATGAGGGGCGTTGGCTGCTGGGAATCCTCCTTGTTGAAGTCTCGCAGCGCCGGATACTGTTTCAGGTATCGAGGTTGGAAAAAAAGAGTTTTGTAAAGCGAGTTGGGACTGCTTAGTCGCATTGTGCCCCAAAGTGGTATCAATTCATTGACTTCAATAGAAGTCAGAGCGGCGAGCTTCTTGATGGCGGCGAGCTCGAGCAACAGATCAGCGTCTATTGCGGAAGTCGGGGGAACAGCCTCCCCAGAGATCCTAGAGAGGGACAGCGTCACGATGGCGTTGTCGAGATCTTGTAGCTTCCAGTCGAGAGTCCTCCATAGTCGAATCAGAGACAGCAAATCTGCGCAGTCTTCGATTCTCAAAGCACTGTCGATGTCCTGTTGTTGGATATTTGTACTGCACAGTTTCATGTCCTTCAATTTCCCGGAGAAAGTTCCTTTAGCAGTCTCGACAGATATTACCAAACGATCTGATAAGAACTCGGTCTTGAGAAGTTCTAACAGTTCCGGGAACTGCAGTCCAGAGCGCGGTAGCAAAACATCTTTGATATTGTTAATGCCGTTGATGCCATTGACTTTCCCTGCCATTTTATCGTTTGCGGAACCCTGGCCATCTGTAGCAAAACCCCAGTACTCTCCTACCGAGCTCAGACCGACCCTCTCGGCATATTCCTCTTGAGTAAAAACGGTGCGGTGATTGTGTAGCTTCGAAATTAGAGCTGAAGATTGAAACGCTTCTCTGGTTATCATGACAAACTCTTCGTGTGAGAGCGACAAAGATTCTGCAGCGAGCTGCCTTTCCAGCCCAGTTTCAATCAGCGCAATCAACTGCGCTTGCTCCTTGTGGTCTGCCTGGGACAAATCACCAGTGCTAAGCGAAAGGGGCGAAAACAATTCGAAAAGATCGTAGAGTGATAGACCAATAGCTTGAAAGTATTCACGACAGGCATAAAGACCCATGTTAAAGGGAGCGCAACTGGGCGGAGACTTTTGATGCTGGATGACACTTGCGTAGACTCTCCAGTCCGTGGACGGCGAAGTGAGGCCTTCAGATGCTCTGTCATTTACAGGTTTGGACGCCTCTTGATCAGCAGGAACTGTAGTCTTGTCCAGTTGAGCAGCCCCAGCGATGAAAGCCTCCAGGGTTTCATTGACAAGGTCGGTGTATCTCACCAAAGTCGTGGTGTTAGCCTCGGAAAGTTGTAAGTCGGCTACGTCTGGACGCCGGTCAAGGAAGTTTGTGAGCAGTCGCGATGGCTTTTTCGTTTCGTTTTCATCCTTAGGATTCAGATACGAGTAACGCAGAAGTTGAAGAAGATCAACAAGGTACGCTGCCGGCGACAGGACAGACGAATACTCGTCAACCTCTATGCTGTCATACTCCCGAAATAGCGTTTCCATGGTGATGACTTGAGTTGAGCCGTCGCTCTCAGTGGGAGGGTCTGAGTCGGCCTGCTTTTCCAAAGCCAAGACTGGTATATCTTCTCGCTGCAGAATGAAGTCGGTCCAGAGACGTGAATTCCGAAGGTCGATAAGATTGGCTTGCTGCCAAATTGTGATGGCGACATCTTCAGAAAGGACTAACGCGCCGCCGTGACCAGTACCAAGAAGTCGGACAAATGCGTCTCTGTCCGTCGCCGCGATAGAATTCGCGGACAAGAAGCCTTTGGCCAACAGTGGGCTTATGTTAAGCGGGTCTCGGACAAGTCTGTGGAGGCGCTGAAGAGCCGCAACATGGCTCCTAGACTCTTGGGAGACATCTGGATTGGACTTGTCAACATTTTTGTTGATGCCCGGAAGTGACTGCTTGGATATGTTTATTCCTTGCTCCACAGCGGAGAGTAGTACCAGCTCGGCAAGCCTCTGACTTGCTTTAGTTGGCATCAAAAGTTTGCTCGCTTTGACCAAACCTGCAAGGGTTTCTGTTGGGCGAGTCTTAAAGAGACAGAGACGCAGTGATTGGTTTCCGCTTTCACCTAGCGACCCTGGATTTGCACCATAGTACTCAACGATGGCAGTGCCAACCGTTCGTTGGGCGGGAGCATAATCGACAATTGACTTGACGAAAAGTACGGATCCCTTCGTCGCTTTGATCAGATCGGAGATATAGTGCAGCTGAGTTACTTCGTCTTCTGACAATCCCTCATTGTTTTCGTTGCAGAACTTCTCAAATCTCTCAACAAGGGCGGCCACAGACTCTTCGTCGGACTGGGCTGAAGCTTGAACCTGGGCCAATTCTCCAGCAAGGGCATTGACCAAAGTCCTGTTACCCAACCGGCCAATCAAAATATCCTGCCATTTTTTATCCATAGTGAGATTGTCTGTTGAAAAGGAGGAGTCGATGCAAGAGGTAGAGTGTGGGATAGTAGTCAAATCAACTTGAACACTACTGCTTGTACCTGTGATGATGTGTAAGGAAGGACCTGTTGAAAGATGTGCTCAATTTATTCGTAACGATACTGGATTGTCAAGGTATCCTTGCAGGCCACCGCTCCAGAGAACCTCCGTAGAATAACCAACCATCTGTAGCTTTTATTTAGGCGGTGTTGCGATAGGGATTTTGTAGGGTAGGAGTTCCGTGCAATGAAATGTCACGACTATTCTCACCCTTATCCACCAATTGGACCTCGGAGGGGTGCCGATACCACTTGCACTGTGTAATCATCACCTCAACTATGTGACAACGAACACAAGCAGCGTAGCGGCCTCCATAATCGCGGTCTGTTCGAGATACAGCTGAGAAGACACGAGGCCGGCGTCAGGGGTGATAGATTATTGAACGCGCGTACGAACACTCACTAGTCTCTATGCTACGCAAGCCGCGATTGAAGAGTCCAGCAGCAACCATCGAGATAGGAGCAGACACTCCTCAAGCAATGGAAGCTAATCTTATTCGCAGTGTTCCACCCAAGAAGCATTGAGCTGAGCTTCTCGGTCCCAATGGCTATGGATCATCATGGATGTACTGAAGCTTGTACTATCAGGTCACTATTGGCAATATTATGCAGTGACTCTATGACCTGTAACTTAATGAGGTAGAAGGGTCAGGCATCACTGCGTAATGCAGCGATGCCGGGCTCGACTCAGCCAGCCATGGACATAAGAAAGAAGCTGGCGGCTTTAAGTGTGCTACGCTGCCTCTTGCATCAACTATTGACATCCTTTTGAGATGGATATGGCCTTCACCCAATGTAATGGAGGCTGCGGAGTCAGAAAAGACACCTGGTACATTGCTATAAGGTGTGGCGGCGCCGTATAGAGAAAGTATATGGAGTGCTGGATCTACCCTTTCCAACCCCCGGCGACCTACAAAAGAGCTAGGGTTGTCTGCCTGATACAGTAATACAGGGTTCAGCTCAGCTAGCCACGGAATAGTTCGCGCTAATACCCTCCGAGCACCCTGACCTAGGGGGTGAGGGAGATCAAACGGGCAGTGTCCTAATCCCGACCAATTTTTGCCGCGCCCTAGTTAGCCGTCCCGTTCGCGACGGCCCGCAGCGACCGGGGCCCGGAACGTTTCCTATTTCCATGGCTGGCTGAATCGAGCCTTTGACAGCCACTCATATCGACACAGCTAACTGTGCCGTTATGCTGCATGAATCACTGCAGAACAATGCCAACAATTGCCGCAAAAGAGCTTAAAGCTGGATCACCTGAAGCCCTCAGGTCGCCACAGGCCACCATCACCAGCACATAGCTTCCTGATTCTGTGACTGGCCGGGCTAATGCGTCAAAGTCACTGCATAATATTGCCAATATTAACATGCATAGAGACCATCTGGGGGAATTCTCAGCTCAGCCCTTGAGCTTGAACGATGACGAGGCCTGGTTCAAACAAAAGGTCCTGAATGACGATGCTACGAGTCCATATGTGTCATCCCGTGTTATCCAGGCTATCTACAATATCTCATATCCATATATCACTATAAATTACGCAAAAACCAACAGGCTTTTGCCTTCCGATAATTCGGACTTTAAACGCGCATATTTTACTCATCTTAGGCATCCTTCCGTATCTTATACCTGCCAGGTTGATTCCTAGCGAAAATCCCAAAACAAAATGTCTAACAACCAGGACAAAGAAGGAGCCATCAAGGTCGATGATGTTGAATCTCGCCTATGGCTTCAGACCAAGACTCAAAGTGGGCAAAACTGGGATCAAGTCCTCGGTGTGTCTCAAAGAGTGATCAACAAGAACTTTGAGAGGCTTTTTGAAATCTACCCCGAGATGGCAGACATGTACAACGCCAATGACGCGGGCATGATTGATGCAAGGCTACTGGCTCCTAAAATCATCATCCCGGGTGGGAATACATCGGCCAACAAATCTCTGGTCTATTTTCAGCTAAGGTATGATGTCAGGGATGGCTATTAATCTGGTTCCCTTACGCTAATGACACGACCGCTGAAGGTTTGAAAGCGGCTCCATGAGCAGCTCAAGCGGCAAGACTCTCATCGAAGACCTCTCCAACTGGGTTATCACGTGTGAGGTGAAGGTAGACAGCGTGAAAGCGGTCATTACCTCAGACATGTCCGACGCAGCCAAGGAAAAAGTCAGAAAGGAAAATGCCTGGATCGACAAGTTCGACGTTGCTGGGGACTATTCTGCTGAGAGATTGTATGCGAAGCTATCAAGTAAGTCTTTGTTTCCAACTCTACTCATTGACTAACGAACTGGCTCTAGGCATCAATTGGACTCAGCCTCAGTCCGACTACACAATCTGTGGCCATGACAAGGATGGCAAGCCTATCAGTTACAGAAACTGGCAAGCTGAGGACCCGAATCGCGCCATGTACCTCAACTTATGGCTCATGGACTGGTCGACAAAGCAAGATGCAGAAGGAAGGAACAACATCGGCTTGTCTGTCCAAGTCCCTCCAGGTAAGAACAAGCAACAGCGCAAGCCTATCACTCTGTACAGAACGGAGCTGACATAAAGGATAGTCCGCAACGTTAAAAACCCTACCTATGGTATGTCATGTCAGACCTCCACAGATTCTCGCGCACAGCTGACGAAATGTACATAGAACCTGTTTTCATGATGAATCAGAGCTATGTCTACAAGAGTGCGAAGCAAGGTGCTATCAATGGAGCCACAGGAGATTCGGGCCCTGCTCTCTGTAATGCGTACCTCTATACCGAAATGGTCAAGATTCCTGGTTTGTCAGACGAGAGACGTCCCGACGACAACACCCTGGTTTGGTCCGGAAACTTTTGCACCCTGCCAAAGACAGTCGAGGGAAGCGATGCCATTGATGGCACCTTTGTCTTTGGCAGGAATGTCTTCTTGGAGACATTTTTACTTCCCGAACTGAGGGCCATCAACAAGGCGTTCGATATTTATCATCGGAAGCCGTATGGAATACAACAGAGCGACGGACGGATTTCCTCCTACGAGCCATACTCTATTGGGCGCGATGATAACCACCCCGATCTCCACGACAAGGTGTTTGATTTCCACAACGTCAACGACACAAGTGACCCCGATAAACTCAACGGCTACTACTACGAGAAAATCAACCAGCAGCCATGGACGGTAACTAGAAACACGAGCAACAATGGCGGAGACCTCAGGGCCTCTAGTTTGGGTCAGTCGAATTCTTGAAACGAAACCTCTAAAGATTACGATTAAAGTAGCTAACATGAGTGCAGATAAGATGAGAATTGACGTTACCTGGGATGTTGGAGGCTCTGTCTTCACCGTGAAAGGCACGGCATCTAGTCACGAGGCCGATGAGTGGACACACGACGGCCCTGGTCGCAGCTTTAATGATGTGTGGTGTCACGCCTAGTAAGTCGGCATTCCTTCTCTACCAGCATCAACTGGCTCACAATTGCAGCGCCGACTATGCCATTTCATTCCAGTTTCAAATGGCCTTCACCACGAGGCCCGGACCAAATGGCAACGGAGTTCTTGATGTCAACGTCATCGGCGGCGCTGACAATGTTAAAGTCACCATCAATCCCAGATTTGACAACAGCCCAGGCGTTCAGGACAATCATAGTGGCCCTTTCAAGGCTCAACTTGATCACAATCTCGGCCAAGTGATTCCAACCATGATCAACAATCTGAAACAAAAGCTCTCGGGAAGTGGACAATTTGTGTTCCCGGGTAACGGTGTCTTCGATTTTGTAAATCCGATGATGAGCAGATATGGCCACCTGCTGGCACAAGTGAAGTACAAACCGTAAGTAAAGAGTGGGAATGCGAATGAATAGTATACGGCTAACCAAGAATAGTTTGACCAAACAACAACTATTTATTCCTCGTGAGCCAAAGCCGACCAAACCGGTCATTGTCGATCCACCTACCCAAATCCCAGTCAAGCACAGTAACGAACACAAGTGGCAGCTAGACTGGACTCTCCCTGTGAATCCAGTGGCCTCAGCATTAAAAGCCAACAAGGTTGTCCTCAGAGCAGAGAACAAAGATCCCGAATTGGCCTCCCAATTCAAGCATATTGTTATCAACTGGACAAGCACTACCAAAGGAATGGCACTCTTTGCAGAGGATACCTGGGCATTGGCTCCTGTTCCTATCTCTGATTCTTCTGACGGTGCTTCTGGTGCCTCTGGTGGTGCTTCTGGTGGTGCTTCTGGTGGTGCTTCTGGTGGTGCTTCTGGTGGTGCTTCTGGTGGTACTAGTACCTCCTCGAAGAGCGGACTAATTACCCTTCGACAAAGTCCTACAGGGAAAAGCGCTGCAGTTCTCCGGACCCCATTCCATAGCGGCATCAAGTGGACGATAAATATCGACCCCAGCGATTCAAAAGAGCCTATCACTCTAAAGCCAGGAGACTGGATTGAACTTGAGTTTGAAGGTATTGTAGGCCCAGCAGGTGCCTATAGCTTTACTATCCTAGAGAACTGGGCCGAGGAGAACACATCGTACTACAGAAACACTTTAAGTATTAACGTTACGTCTCCTCCATAATGTAATAGCTACGGTGGAGGAATATCACAGTTAACTATATAGTTGTGAAATATAAATGCGATAATTAATACTTCTATTATTGAAGGCATGTTAATAAATATTAAATAAAATATAACTTGTAAATAACTTGGCCAGACAAGGCCTCTCACATCTCAATTTGAAACGGCACCTAAAACGCTGGTGCTCAGGATCGAGCTCAACAGAAAGTATTTCTCGCCGCCTTGATCTTATTTATTATCATTAATATGGAGTAATTGCCTATGGAGCAAGAGGATACACGTCTACTAGGGTCACGACCCTCGACCACCGCCGATCGCCACATCATCCAGAGACCGCATCTTGTTCCAGGTAGTCGGTCTGGCTTCTCTCCAAGCTTCGAGTACTGTATTGGGCTTGATCTCCTATATGAGCTATCAATGATGATTCTCGCCGCACCTATGGTATCTGCCCTGGAGCATGCCATTTGCGCTCGGCACTATCACGACAGCATTTCGACATCCGAACTCTGCAAAGCTTCTTCAATGCAGAGGGATTTGCCCGAGATCCGATGCCGGACAGCGTCTTTGAGACATTGTTTTGTAGTAAATGTGACTTGTATGATAGATTTGACAATGATGTTCCAGCTTGCCATCATTGTTACGCTGCCCATTGGGTGTGTGTTCATGGTTGTTGTGACGGGCATCTTGACGAGCCTGATTTGGACTCTCAACGTTTGTAAGCATTCAACTGTAAGCAAACACAATATCTTGAGGCTAAGAGTTCGATAGTCGCTTATGCTTTACCGCCCATTATGCTGGTGCGGGATTCTTCTGTCTTCCTCCTTGTGGGAGAAAGGTATGCTGCTGAAATGCTACTTGCTCGCAACCATGCACCGAGCAGACAAGGTAGCCTTCAGCACTTAAAATACCAGAAGTCAGAGCTTACTTCTATAGGACTCGAGGTCTCTACTACTTCTACTCGTATTTCATCTTTAGCGAGTTGGTAGGTACTCCAGTGGCATCTGTTGCTGCTGACATTTCACCATGGCTGCCCTTCTTCATCAGCTATTTTTTATTATTTTTAACCTTTCCTCTACTCTTGGTCATGCCAAAGGATTATACAACTACATCCTAAGTGACTGTTGACTCAACTGAAGACTTGCCAATCTCGCACGACCAAAGCCACAGTACCCTACAGGCCGTTCTCCATGCGTTCTTCGATCAAATTAATCTTCTCCACTTCATACTCTTGAGTCGCAATATGTGCCTGGCGGCAATGGTATTCCTTATCTGCACATTTCGTGGCATCTCACTCCGCGCTCTAGTACAGTATGCATCCTCCCCTTTAATTGGAAGCTTTCTAGGGCAGATTTTGCAGCTCACGAATTTAGTACATACATGAACTAACTCCCAAACCAGACGAATGCTCTCATTAGAGAAGCTGCTTTTGTCAACTTGGTCTTATTCCTTTTCATTATGCCTGCTTTGTTGCGCATTGTTAAAAAATACCTGAAGCCGACGCCCCAGGTCCTGAATCTTGGAATTGTGAGGACTAGCCTGTCACTTCTCTTCCTGGACTCACTATTGCTTGGCTTTGCCACAAACTCTGCCTTTCTGATTGCGGGTGAGTTGGGTTGCTCTTACCACTTTCCAGTTCTTTTGAAGGACTTCATATAGCAACGATGATCTACGGTCTCGGATTTGGTGCCCGCTCGACACTGTTGTCACTCGTCACCTCATGGATTGACCCTCAACGCGCCGGCACCCTTTTCAGCGCCGTGTTTTACGTGGAGCAGATTGGTATGCTCGGGGGAGAGCCACTCGTGCAGAATCTGCTTGGAATTTCCCTTGGGCTACAAGATCCTTGGAGAGGCCTGCCGTTTATATGTACTGCAGTAAGCGTCGAACCCCTAAGAGCTTCTTACTGTTTAACAAACAACCAAGTTCTTCTATTTGATCAGCATCGTTTGTATGTTTTTGAAAAAAAAACAACACTTTATTACTTCAAAAGTAAGTAATATTTAAATTATATTAGACTTTAGAGATACTTAAATACCTTTTAAGGCTAATATATAAACTTAAAAAAAATAATAATATTAAGTTAAGGTATATCCCAGCTATCTCCAAGATATCTCTAGCTTAAGCCTTGGCGGATTTATAAGAGAGTTTATGGATTCTGTAGATAGCGTGGCCTAGCGACTTGACAAGGAGATATTTGAATATCTTCCCGCTTCCATTGCGAATTGAGAAGAGCCGGAACTTCCGAGACCCTGAAGGGGAGGCTGAGTAAGTGTAAGGTTCGGGAAATCGTTCATGATTTGGCCAGGCTTTGAGGTTATTTATACACATGCCCAGACAGTACAGAAGCCGGCGACGGCGGGTATTAAGGAATATACAATAGATAATATAAATTTTAGTAAGGATCTATTGTTCTTGATGATATATTGGATGCCTATTTACGTGGTATAACCTTGAGAATGACATTTTGGCATAGTTGGGGACGAGGGTGGTGCCACTTCTGAAGGTGTGACCACCGCAAACAATAGCTGTTCTGATGCGTTGAATTTATGAGACACGGCGTTCGAGGTGGCGAGGAGCGAATGAGGCGACTAGCAGATCGTGATAACACACACCAGACTCTAGATTCATAAGAAATAATCCTATGGTCAGATACACGACACAAAAGCTCTCGCTGATGGCATGCCCAAGTGTCGCGTTTATGCTTCTATAAAGCTTCCCCAGATAATACATGGTGATCAGTAACGCTCCTTTCAAGTTTTATCAAAATCATTATTTTGCTGAAGCAACTCTCTACCAGTATGGTACAAATATTACCACCAGTGAAGTCTTTGGGTAAGTGTTCCAAAAAGACGTGTTAGAGAAAAGAGCAACGGGTAATAGTTTTGATAAACAGATTGGGACAACATTTCTATCGATAGCTCCCAGTGTAAGTCTACCTACCTGCGGTCTGTATTTCCTCAAAACAGCGTAGTTACTAATCGAGACATTTTTATCGCTTCTAGGTTTGGGCCATGTTGAGTCCACTTACAAAGCGTCTACTGGTGAATGGAGTGACCCCATATTCACCAGCGATCCGTACTTACGAGTTCACGGGTTAGCACCCGGACTACAGTATGGTAGGTTTGCCCTCCGTTCTATGTTGGACGAGCGCTGCATTAGCTGTTTTACGATAGCAACACTAACAAAATTGCTTCCACAAACTAGGACAACAATGCTATGAAGGGCTTAAAGGTAAGCCCTCGCATATGATGTTATAGATCTAGTAAGGTAATCTGACAGGAACAGCATTTCGAACTGCGACTGGCAGGGTCTCCATCTTCCGCCCTGGTCAACACGCCAAAAGAATGTCACACTCAACCTCCGTTGTCAGCATTCCTGATATACCCGAGTGTCTTTTCTTATCGTGTGTTGAACTAGCTGTTACTTCCAACTCTTCGTATATCCCTCCAAATACCTCGAGAGCTATGCTATACATCCGGCCATTCGCGTTTGGGTCGTCTGAGATGATAGGGCTGATGCCTCCCTCAGAATTCACATTCTGCGTCTTCGTCAAGCCTGTATCGGCATATCATGGCACCATGGCCCAGGATGCCTTGGTTCTTCTGAACTTCGACCGAGCCGCGCCACGAGGCCAGGGACACGCAAAGATCGGTGGCAATTATGCTCCCGTTATTAAATGGAGCGAGAAGGCAAAGGCACATGGGTTCGGCATGACGCTGCATCTGGATAGCAAAACCCGAACAGAAATCGATGAGTTTTCGACCAGTGGCTTTCTCGGCATCAAGGTGTCTAACGATGGGAGCGTAAAGGTCGTGGCACCTGACAGCCCTTGCATCATTAGAAGCATAACCAGCGATTGCTGTTTGCAACTTGCCAAGTACTACGGTTGGACTATCGAGAAGAGACCAGTAAGATGCATACCCTTTCACACACTATATAAGCAGTTGAAACTATTTGGTGACGAAGTGGTATTTTCCCACAGGAATCTGACGAAACCTAGATCAAATACACCGAGCTCTCGGAATTCTCCGAGGTAATTGCCGTTGGCACTGCAGCTTCGGTGGTCTCCATTCGATCCATCACCAACGAAGAAACCCAAGAAAGGTTCCGGTACCTAGATCCAGCCAGCAATCAGGGGCCCTTTGCTCGGGTGTTGTCGGTCGCCTTGGACGATATCATGCGTTGCAAGGCTGCCGATCTGTTTGGATGGTGTCACCAAGTGGGAGAGCCTGCTTTGGAGCAGCCAGTTGAGGTCGATATTCACCATAAAGTGGGGGATACGAGCAATTACTTCAGAACTGATGGGAAAAAGGCCGTTTTCACTGATATTTTGATGCTCTCTGGTCCAGGATCGGGCGCCAGGCATGCTTGTCACTAAGCTCGGATGAAGCTGGTCGGAATATTTCAAGATCAATCCAAACAAGTCATGTGGTTCTCTGGTATTACATGTAGCAAACAATATAAGCACTCCATGGGGCTTGACGCATAACATTACCAAAGTAAATGCAAGAAGGCTCTACTGTGATGCTTATCTTTCTCGCAGCCCTAGGCCAAAATGGTTCTGATGATAGGCTACAGGTTCTTAGTTGGCAATAATTATACCTTAACATCAGTTCACTAACCGTGCGATGCTGGGTCCGTTTTGAGTAATGGTTGTTGACAGCAGGGTTGCGCAAGTCTGTTACTAATATAATGTGTTCTGTAAATATCATACATTGTAACACTGTCCTTCCATCCTCGCGTCTGGGTTGAGTAAGACATGAGATTCCTGCTCCTCGGTATACGGAGGCTTTTCCTTAGCCACAAATAACGACTGAGTAGCCAGTCCCTTCTGAAAGAATCTAGTAGCTCGTCTTTGCCTGATGAGTAACTTTCTCTTATAGTCATGGAATTCCTCGACATCTGCAAGTGTGGCATACAGGTATCGCGGGTGGACGATGATTGCCTGCGCGCCTTTCTGCCCGAATCCGAAAGATGTAATGGAGCAAGCTCGGAGGCCGTTGGTCTGGATGCTATGATGAGGGAAGAAAAGAAAATCGTTAGTCTCGAGCTCTGGGGCTATGTCATCTGCGTTACGATTGCCAGGAATCAATCCGGTATCCAGAGCCTGTAACGCTCCATTGAGCATCCACGCGCCAGCCGCGCCCTTTGAATGGCCAGTGAGAAACTTCTGAGTGATGCTGTAGACCGGGTTTCCTATAGAACGACCAAGGTGAGATAGCTGCTTCTGAATCACACTGGTCTCGTTCTTGTCGTTCAGAGTGGTGGACGTGCCGTGTAGCGAAACAAAGTCCAGATCGTCAATAGTGAGGCCCCAAGCTGATAGCGCACCCCGGATCGGTGAGATATCTGGTTCAGAAACCCAAAACTCGTGACCTAGATCTCTGAGTATTTGTTTACTATGCCTAAGGGCTTTATGGTAAAAGTAGAGCTTCTTTCGCTCGAATTGACCATTTGCTGCATCATCTGGTGGCGTAGGTTGTTGCTCCAGAGACTTTAAGTTATGCTGTAGATCTGCTTGGATTTGGCGTTGTTGTTCTAATATCTGATCTCGGCGGAACCTCAGGTCCAACAATGGGTTCTTGGATATACCTTGACTAGTCTCGCGTGCATTGGTCAGAATGCCTTTGCCAGGGGAGGGCACACTTCGGTTCGTTTTGTCGCTTGCTGTGCCCACCCAAGAGACGATCCCATGTATAGGGAGACCCATGTCGAGAGCAGTCCTAGCATTAGCGAGAATCTGAACGCCGCTGCCCTGGGCTTCAACAAAGCCGTTTCGTGTTGATGTCATAGGGCGAGACATCTCGCTGGGCATACGCCCTCGTCCAAATTCTTCATCCGTATTCGCAGTAGCGCGCATTTTGGCGAACTCATATGCCACCTCGTCCGTCATGTCATCATGACCACCTCTGTGATCGCAGTAGTTAATACCGTGTTATATTGGCAATGAGATGGAAACAGCGCTGGTACTTACACGACAACAACTTTCGCCCTGCCGCTAGTGATGAGCTCATAGCCTAGTTCCAGCGATTCTACCGCAGTCGCGCATGCCCCGACTGGAGTCCTGATGGGACCGGAACTCGATAGGAGTAGCATGTTGATCCATGCAGCCGCGGTGTTGATGAAGACTTCCTGCAAGATGTCGCTCTGGACTTGTTTTCCATGGTACCTGTGCCGAAAGATCTTCTTGAGTGCCTGCTGGCCGCCTAGGGCAGATCCAACACAGTTGCCCACTTCAGAAACGTGCATGTACTGATACAGCTCGTATGGATCTACGATACCAGACGAGATAAGCGCCTCCGCTGTGGACACCAATGCAAAAATGGTCTCTCTTCCGATCTGCTCAACAGCCCAGTCCGGTACACCATATCTGCGTGCATCCCAACCCTGGGGAATCTGTCCCGCTGTGACTCGGTCAAATCGAAGTGCCTTTGGAACGAGGATCGTAGCCCCACGGCGCAGTCTGACAGTCCAATCCGCACCGACACTGGCTCCGGGCAAGACGTCAACCTTGTCGCCGTGCTCATTCATGAATTGCTTGGCGAGTTCTGGCTGCGCTGCAAACGGAGCCAGATCACTGGTCAAGACAATCTCGTGCAAGAGCTGTTTTCTGCTCGGATCATAACCTTCATCCAACTCTGGCTCAATTAGGCGTATCCCGGAATGCTCGAGGATTCGCCTCTCATATAGAGCTTTGACCTCAGCGTCAGCAACTGGTGCTTTACTTTTAGCATCCACCCAACCTATGTAGTGCTCGCCGCCTGCGCCGTCATTGAGTCTGCCGTTATGATGTGTGATAAACCCCATAATCCATGCCATCTCGATGCATCCTTCCAGCGAGAACTCTCCGCAGGCTTCCATCTCCCATCTGGTGCGGGCGTTGCCCCAGGGGCCAACCTCGGACATACCAGTAATGACTACAACACGATCAGGGTCTACCATACCGCGGAGCGTATGGAGGGGGCTGATCTCTTCATGGTAGTCGGGTAGCTTAGGAAATCCAAGCTTCAAATTTGCTAATGGCGAGACGGAAGAAGGATCTTTTTGCACACCGGATTGGTTGCCATGGTGGTAGTCTTGTCGCCGTTGCTGAGCAGGAGGAATAAGAGAGTCCTGCCGCAATTTATGGCGGATATCAGACAGTACTGAATGTAAGCCTGCCGTATCATTCATGCCACCCGAAAGATCAATGTAAACTGGCTGCATCTCAACTTGAAAAGCAAACGGTTCAGCTAAGAGTGCTGCGAGATATTGGGCAATCTCTGCTTGAGAGAAGGTCTGCATCCCAGTCATCGCTCCAACGTCAGCGGCCACGACATCATTTCCAGCCATAAGACCCGTGCCACGCACCCATCCTATCACGGCACCGCAAATGGCAAGGTATGGTGACCATTCCTCTGAATACCATTTATTGAGAAGCATCTCCAGTCCAACCTTAGACTCTGCGTATAGTCCGTCATTGCCGAAGACACCGTGGTTCGGGCTCAGCGGAAGTAATACTTTGACGGGACTCGTGTTCGATGGGCCGTCTTGTTTGTGTTGCTTGATGGCTCCCAGAAGCCGCAACACGTTTGTAAGCATGATGCGGTGGGCAAACTCGGATTTGGATCCCAGCTCATCAACTTGACCTTCTTCAGATACGGCGGCAAATGGGATAACGTAATCAAGATCCCATCCTAGTCCGCCTTGTGCATCGAATACATACTTGACGAGAGCTTCACAGTCCCCTTTGCTGCCCTGGTTGAACGGGACAATGACTAGCTGTGAACCAGACGATCCCCATTGCATGTACAGAGCCTGAAGTTCACGGCATGTCGCCGGCGAGAAATGACTTGTTGTCACGAGTACACGAGCACCCGCAAGGAGCAATTGGTGAAGCAGGCCGCGACCTATGGACGAGGGGCCGGCGCCGGTTAGGAGGACTGTCTTTCCTTTGAGCAACAGCCCGTGTTGGCGTACGCTGACGAGGCTTGACTGATACAGTTCAGTTATGGAATCATTCTGCTTCCAGATGTGTCTCGATTGTGTTTTGACTTTCACTTCCATACCGACGTTGTTGTTTATTCCGCATTGATTCGGGTCTGGGATCGTCTGCCCAAGCATCGACATCGGAGTCGCCAGGGATTGCGAGCCTTTGCCGAAGAAGCGCGATGTCTGAAAGTGAGATATCCAATCCTGGCCATCCTCAATCAGCATGGAAAGTACTTCCTTGACCATTGACACGAGCAGCTCATCTGCACGCAATGCCTCGCTGCTTTTCAGATAGCGCATCACATCGAGTAAGCGCTGGTTAGAACGACGAACAATCATGTCGCAGGTATCGCGCGTCGTTTGATCGTCCAAGTGCTTCTCACCGCATAGGATACCATGAACCAATAGTAATAAGTCTTGAAGAGCCCAGTTCCAGCACGATTCATATTTACGAATCTTGCGTGGAGACCATACTGGCGTGATTCCATCAATGAACTCATTCCCTAGTTCTGCAGTGAGAACATCTACTTGATACTGTAACGCATCCTTCTCTACTCTGACATCGTTGAATGATTTTTGAGCTTCCGAGATTGCGCCTCTATGCGATGAGGCGATATTGTCGAGGTAAACAGGATAGACAGTGGGGACAGGACAAGGTCCAGCGCCATGTTGCTCATTTACAAGTTTCGCATTCAGACTTGGCGCAGCCACTGGTGCTGGTACGCCAGGCATCGGCTGCAGAATCAAACCAGCCTCGGTGCCGTAGGCCTTCGTTATGGTATCCAGAAATATCGTTGCCTCCTTGTTACTTTTCAGGCGCGAGGGCAAGACCTCTGTTGCAGTTCTCAACAACACGGCATCTTGTCGTCCAAGTCCCAACCCCCAACGCTCCTCTAGATGCCATCGCGCGTCTGCTACTGTGAACCCGCCAGGCATCTTTTGCGAAAAGAGGCGGGCAGTGAGCTCTGCGCAAGCAGCCGTGAGTTTAGCCATTGAGGCTCCCGTGGACAGAGTACGTGATAGCTCCAAAATATCCATCTCCTCTGCTCTGTCTGGCAGTGAGCTGAAGATGGAAGACAAATCACCGATAATCTCATTCTCCAACGTTGATCGGCCTGGGATTTTGTGTTAGAGAAAAAGTGCAGTGAGATATCAGCAAACCGTTAGTCGATCTGTAAGGACATACCACCAACAAGATTCTTAATCGATTTCGAGCAATCAATAGTGCCGAATCCCTTCCGGAGCTTCTGCGCAACCAGTCCTACGACCACGTCTCTGGCTGTGATGACCTCGTCATCTACCTTAGTAGCCGCTGTGACTGGCACCGGCTCTCCATATTTTGGCAACGAGTTGCTGACGGTAGACACTTTGGGTTCAAGCTTCTTCACAACTTCTACCGCCGTTGGAAGCTCGGACTGTTGCGTAAGAGTTTCAATGGCTTCATAGTGTATCTCACTGGCGTCTGCCTCATAGGATTGCAGCACGCGTTGCTTCGGCAGGGCAGCATCGTGCTCACGGTATTTTGAAGAGATTGTCTTCTTGGCCATGGCTACCAGAGTGTCGGAGGGGCCAATTTCCACCATACGGCTGATTTCCTTATCTGCAAGAAGAACGTCTTGGGTTTCAGTCCTAGTGCCTAATTGTTACTTTTTTTTGACGCCACTCACACCTCATTGCATTGAAAGGAACTTACCATCTAACTGGCTTTGCGAACTGGTATCTATCAAGGGCAATCAGTATTGAATCTTACTCTGCCGTTCTGTGGACATCTCACGATAGCAATTCTGTTACTAGCATATGAGATAACTCCTGCTCAACTTGTGCTTCCATTTTCCTCACACTTGACGATCGAATAGGTTGCTTAGTTCACTCTCTGTCAAGATTAGTAGCTTGAACAAATACGGCATAACGTAGAGCGATGCAAGACAAGATCTGTTTGGTGCGCGGGACGGTCAAACATACTCACCATATAACGATGGCCTGTACAATTTCATAGCCAGCCGTGTAACCAGCCTAAATGTGGGTACAATCACCCCCATACATCAATCAGCACAGCGTTTGGTATGTCTTTGGTGGCTCCACCCCATCTAACTACTAAGTCTATCTCTCATCTGTGCCTCCAGAGCCTCATGATGCTTTGCTCCACAGATACAGACCATGGTGCCACGTCTTGGTGCCACGACTCTCCTGCCTCGTAGGGTCCATCCTTTGCGCCCTTGCTAGCCCTTGCCGGTTCCAGCTGGCCAATTGATTGAGGAAAGTGATGTTAGAGAAATTTAACCACCAGTCTTATTACTTGCCTACGTTATTTCTTCTTCTTTTTGTGGTTGGATCACGACAGCAGTTCTTATTCCGTACCTCGCTTCGCTGGATCTCACTACCTCCTACCCTATAGATACCTAGGTATCTATTCGACCAGTGACTGCAAGAAAAGGACTTGACGCGAATTAGATCTAACAGAGTCGCACAAATCAAATTTATCACCTCTTTATTGTTATATCATAAGACTTGTCTATTCTATTTTTACCACTTCCTTATGAATAATTCAGACAATTTTGACGCCTTGAAGGCGGCAGCTTCAACTACCTTTGTGGTCTCCATCACCACAGCCGTTACAATTTTCTTCTATGCAAGTCACAAACCTCAATTCACGTTCACACAAGGTTGCACAAAACTGACGAATTTTACAAGGCCGTCGTGATAGTGGTGCACCGCTTGTGGTTTCACCCACTGGCAAAATATCCCGGTCCAATTCTTGCTAAGATATCAAACACATATTCTGGCTATCATGCCTGGAGAGGCTCATTACATATTGACATGTTGAGATGCCACAACAAATATGGTAATAATGATCATGTTCAAGTAGCGAATTCGTGGAATCTGATCCATCGACGCCAGGCTCCTTCGTTCGTTACGCTCCCAACCGACTTCTCGTCAATACAGCCTCTGGGCTCAAAGGTAAGGCAGGCTGTATTCTAGGCTGGTAATTCGTGACGAGCTAGGATACGTACGCAATTGAGGCGACAAAGAATGACTGGAAAGTAGACATTTACGATCTAAGCGCCAATGTTCAGAAGTCATCAGCATATCTAGCCATGAAACATCGCGCACCCAATGTCCTCACAGCAGTTGACAGGAAGACCCATGGGCGGCGCCGTCGACTCATCAGTCAGGGACTTTCCGATTCATCCACCCGCGGTTTTGAGGACACCATTAAACAGCATGTTGAGAAGCTGTGCAACCAGATCAGCCCCGGCCACTCGGACGCAAGCACTCAGTGGTCTCGGAGCCATGATCTATCTCGCTGGTGTAAGTTCGGACCGAGTCTTGCGGTGACAGCTATAGTTGATATTGAGAGAAAATGCTGAGCTGACTCGCCTTGATAGCTAGCTATCTCACATTTGACATCATGGCGGACATTGTATTTGGACAACAGTATAATCTACTGGGGGATGAAGAGAACCGCTATGTTGTCGACAGTATTGAAGGCTCAAATATTCGGACTGGGGTATTAATACAGGCACCGGAAGCATCTATTTGGCGACTAGACCGACATCTGTTCCCCAAGTCCATTCAATGTCGTAACAAGTTCATCGAGTTTATATCACGACTGGTTCTCGATCGCATGACAACAAGTCCACTGAAACGAAACGACATCATTAGCCATCTTCTCACCGCCAAGGACAAGGAAACAAATGAAGGTTTCACCAAGAACGAGGTGATGGCTGAGAGCACAACCTTGGTTGTCGCGGGCACAGACACTTCTTCAACTGCCATCTCGGCTACTTTCTTCTACCTGACCCACCACCCAGGCTTTTACCAGCGGGCTGCCGCCGAAGTTCGAAGTGCGTTTGCCACAAGCAACGATGTCAAGATTGGGTCAAAGTTGAACGCCTGCATTTTCACGCGCGCATGCATCGAAGAAAGTCTACGCATGTCACCACCAGCTGGATCGGCGCTATGGCGTCAGGTTCTAGATGGCGGTCAGATTGTGGATGGGCATTTCATCCCTTCAGGATGTGATATCGGCGTATGCATCTACGCCATTCACCACAACGATGCGTATTTCCCCGACCCCTTCGACTTCAAACCTGACCGCTGGCTGTCAAATGATGAAGTGGCCATGGAGAAGGCGAGACTGGGTCGCTCAGCGTATAACCCCTTCTCTATCGGCCCCAGGAGTTGTATTGGGAAAGGCTTTGCTATGGCTGAACTGATGTTAACTGTTGTTACCATGCTCATCAAGTTTGACATTCGTCGTTCGCCAGGTCGTGAAGGATGTATTGGACAAGGGTGTGTGGGAGCTGGCGGCGGACGCCATAGACTGGACGAATTCCAGTTATATGACCATGTAACGGCATACAAGAAAGGTCCGGCGTTGCAGTTTCGAAGTCGTGGACCTGCCAGCCTGCCAGCGTGAGATTGAAAGGGAAAACGAGATGTATAAGTTATAAGTTGTTACGCTCAGTTGGCACCAATTATCTACACTATATACTCTTCTCCTTCGACCTCTACTCCAAGTATAAGATAACTAAGAGTTCGGTATAATTAACTAGAAGATCCATTTACTAGTCTTTATCTGCCTTGTTACATGATTCTGATTGGCTAATATAGCTTGTTGACCGCTATACTAAAAGGTCTGCCACGACCTCGGTTAGAGGAAGTGGCCTGTAATAACAGCTATATCACAACATGCCTAGTCTCCTTCCTATACCTGCCGTAGGCATTATATAACACAATAGCTTCAAGCTATAGGGTAGGTTATTTAATTAGAAAGTTATAAATAGCTTATAATATAGAAAGTACTTAAAACTACAGTAATATATTACTTTATTATTGTTAAGGCTTGAATAAAAT